AAGTTCACTATCCAGTAGACACAGCTATACTTGCAGTTGTTTGTGTATGGGTACACACACATACATATATAGATTATCTAAAAAGTGTGTGTGTATGTGTGTATACACATACATATATATCATTCATTTATTCAATAAATATTTACTGAGTATTATGTACCAGGCATTCCTACTCTTCTTAAATTCAAGATTAATTTCACAAAACCCTAAGGGAAGTTAGAAAACATTTTCACCAGAGATTGAAAGCAAGCAGGCTGCAAGGCACATTTGGCACACACGGGTTTTTTTCACACATGTATGTAGCCCCTATGTTCCCTACCATTTCTAAACATCTTCCATCCAGGCCCTCATGCCTCTGTGCGTTCTGCTTATCTCATAGGCATTTGTACCTATGGCCTCAGATTGAGGGTTTTCATTTCATAGGCAAGGAACCCCATGGGTCCAGACTGTACCTGGCTTCTCCAAATCCAGTAGCAGAGGCTAGACAGGAATTCACATCCAAACCTGCAGATAAAGCGAGGAGGCAGGGCAATAGTACCTTGCTAATAAGACTATCTTGGACTCAGCCATACCAATCTGATAGGAGCCTGTCCAATCCCTCTTCCTGGAAAGGCCACAGGTTCTTGGATAATTCTTTGGGAACCATCTGCCAATGGAAACATGGGGTTTGCAAACATGGATTTCAGAAAATTAGAACAAAAATTAGAACAATTAGAATAGTCTGTTAAAATAACAATGATGATGATGATAAGTATTGTTATTACTCTCACCGTAATGGTGGCAAATGTTTATTTTTTTCAACTCTTTATTGAGCACTGTCAGAAGGAGAGGAGCTCAATAGGCCTGGGATGTTTTCTGGCTCTGCAATTAGTTTGTCAGTTAAATAACTAGCAAGGGGTTCCTTTCCATTCTCACCGTCAGAGTCTCCCCGAGAGCCACACACAGGGTCCATGGCCCAGGACCATGTTTATCGCCACTGGAGTGTATAGTACCTCCCAGCAGGGATTCCCAAAATTTAGTGTGAAAGACATCCCTTGATGTTTAAGGGGAGCTTACATAAAATGCAAATTCCTGGATGCAACCCCAAGAGAGTCTGAGGAGGGCCAGGGGGTCTGAATTGTAGTAAAATCCCCAGGTAATTCAGATACAAATGGTCCCCAGGCCCTACACCGACAGAACCTGCCTCAGAGACCAGGCAGTTCATTCCCTCTTAGGGACAAGGTCCTTCTGAAATTCTGAGTCATCTCCAGTGTCACCAAACCATGCAAACCTTGACTGGTGGAAAAAATAACAAAAGACAAAAAAGCCACCCAGATTCTGTCCCCTCCTGGGCACTGTGGATGCCCATATGTGCAAGCATGCCTACTCTGTTTTGTGCAGAACTTCTTCTGGAATGCAGGCAGCTACTCACTGGTGGAAAGGGAGTGGCAGGGGTTCCAGGACCCACACAGGCACCAGGCCCCTTTAACCTGTCACCAAGGACACACCTTCCCATTCGGATCCACTTTCAACTATCTTCACTGAGACTAACTCATTCTTGCAAAGTGTCAAGCACTCTCCTTCCTTTTCAGCTGACTGAGCCACGGAGCACATGGCTCTGCAGAAGTGGCCTGGAGGCAATGAGAAAAGCCCTTGCAAGGAGTAGCAGGAAATGAATAGGGAACTATCACACAATGTAACCTTTCTAGGCAGAGCCCAGACATTTTCCTTCCTGGGAGTAAAGTACACAGAGGACAAGAAGTCCTTGTATTCCCAGGAATACAGGTACCAGGTAAAAAAGCCAAAGACGAGGAACTCACTTAAAAGAGACACCTGAAGGGGGGGCGGAGCCAAGATGGCGGCGTGAGTAGAGCAGTGGAAATCTCCTCCCAAAAACACATAGAGCTATGAAAATATAACAAAGAAAAATCTTCCTAAAATAGAGACCACAGGACACAGGACAACATCCAGACCACATCCACACCTGCAAGAA